CACTAGTTTCGGATGTCTCAAAAGCCGAACACCTAGAAACTGAAGTGCAACAGCCCCTTGGGAAAGTTTTGTTCGTTTATAGGCACTGCAACCCCAACTTCTGCAAATAATGGTATCAGTCTCATCTGCTGAGTAAGAGTCTTCCAAGTAGGTTTTATCTGCTTACACCCCTCCCATCCTCACCATCAAATGACTCAGTTCTTGTTCTGCAAGATTACAGCAGCTACTTTTCATCCTGATTCATTTTGGGTATAAGATTCATTGAACCACTTGATTCACCCAACAACTTTCAAGTGGCTGAACAACCCAAGACAGATGTCTTAACTCCCGCATTTAAGGAATACGTATATGTACCTCAGAAGGCTTTTCAAATGCACCTACCATTCACCACTGACTACAATCAGGGATTAAGGACCCTAAGTTTGATGAAGACAGGCAGGGTCTGAATATCTGCAGGTTTACCCTAATAATTCATATTTCATGCAAAAGCACTCAGTAATAGGAACTAAAGCTTAATTAAAAGCAACATTTCCAAGGCTTTTATTTAGGTCAAGGTCACTACAAAAGTATGGTTTGTTTTATTTGGGATGGGGAAACACTTTATCAGATATTTTTTCCAGCAGAAGCAAGGCAGAAAGGCAAGTCATTCTGTTCAGTGTGTCCCTGGGTTCACAAGCAATGACGTACAAATAGCAGTGTTTTAAAGGCACCTCTCACCCACTGACCCCAAAATGCTTTTACTTCCCTTAATGAACTCCATTTCACATCAGCTCCACAGCTGTCTTACATGGGAACTGAGAGGGACGAAGCGATGTATCTAGACCATGCAACAGCACAAAAAAGATGACTCCTGCCAGCCCAGTGATTAATGCAGTAGGGCACAGCTGTTTTGCACAGCATCCTGTTCCAGGGTACACCATCACTAGTGAGGTAACACACTTCTGAAACCTTATCACGTGCTTAGACTGCAGGCGCTATCGCATTGGCGCTTTCTAGCCCCAGTTCTGCAAAAGGCTCAGTCAGCAGTGGTTTAAGACACTCCTTGCCTCAGAAGCTCAAGACACTGTTGTTTACATCACTAATGTTTCCTGACAACTTCACCCTTCTTCCCCCCATTACCTCTGGGCAAGAAAAGTCTATTCCTTCAACTAGCCAACCAGGGAAGCAGATTACTAGCAAAAAATCCCTCCCCCTAAAAAACTCAAAAAGCTCAAGAACAAAAAACCCCTAAACCAACCAAACAAAAAACCTCAAACCCAAACAAAAAAAAACAACTAATCAAAACTGATTCTTCCCAACACTTAGAACCTGGACCACCTTCTAGATTATAGGAATTTCAGATTGCTGCAATGCGGTCATTGCTTGTGCCCACGCATAATTCTCCACTATATGCCAAGGTTCTTCCACTGAATGCATGCATTATGGCACAAGATAAAGAAAACATGAAAAGACAATGAAAAGACAATATGCCAAATGCAAAAAAGTGCTTGCAGCAGAAATACATTAATATTTGATTAAACAAAAAGTTTGGATCAAAATGCTCCAAAACAGTAAAGTGAGCCTGCAAGCAGCACAGAAGGCCCACTAGTATAACACATGAGGAATCACCAAAAAGAGTCCTCTTGATGGAAGTTGCATGAAAGCTACAAGGGCAAGAATATTATCCAGCTCTCAGATGAGTCTCAGCAAAAGCTGAATATTAGTTCTTTGGTGCCAGCAGACAGCACCCCAAATCCCTGTGCCACCACTTGAGAGGGTGAAGCCCACAAATCCCAACACTAAGGGACCCTTGTTCTGTTACAGTAAAATTTCACCCCAAGACAGGCCAAGCCAAAGCACTCTCAGCATACATTACACAAGATGCTACAGGACTTTTGCATGGGAAAATTAATTTATTTTGAATTCACCATCTTCTGCCAATACAGAATTGCATAAGATGGGGATAGGGGTGATTAGACAAAAGGACCCAACGTCCTAACATTTCTCCAGAGAGAAGTGTTGGGGACCTGCTTTTTGCTGACCCCACACCAGTACCCTCATACCTTTTTAATGGGTTTTACTTTAAGAAACTAAACAAATATTTTCAGAAGAGAATCATGCTGGTGCCAAGTGAAAGCTAGTTCCTCAGTATGACTAAACACACCTTGCATCAGGCAACTCACTCTGTGACTGACATCTTAAATGCAAGTAACTCTGGATAACTCCTGCGTTTCTGCCAAACTAGATGTCATTAATTATACAGTTCTTTCTTCCCAGAAGACTTCAATTTATAGGTTGTATTTTAACTTCCCTTTACTGAGAACAACAAACAAGAATTTACGTTTCCCTTTCTATTACGAGTACAGTCACACATTTTTCCCTTATTGCTTAATTAAAGCTGTTTCAACCACCAAGAACTTGGTGCCTATGCTTTTGGAGGCAGCCTGATCTCTCTAAAATAACTGTTAAGACAGCAGGTGGAAGACAGTCTTCATAGGCTAAATGTTACTATAAATTTAAACAGAAAAATATCAAGCTGTTCCTATGATTTCTCTGCAATTTTACAAATGAAAGTAAAAAGAGAGATGCAGACTGGCACCTAAACACATTCATTTCCTAGTACATTCCTCCAGTTTCATATTCCTCTACTCTCAAACCTTTTCTAGACTAAATTAAGACTAGAAAAAATCTTTAGGCAGATGCTTCACTGATGATTGGTACCAATCTTTCTAATCTCCTGGTTACCAGACAGCATTGGAGGGCAGTGAGTTTCAAACCTCTTGGCCCTCACTTATCCTATTTCAATTTTTTATTAGCCGAAGAAAAAGCAGAGACCATCTTTCAGCCCTGTCTGCTGAGCAAATACAAAGCAGGAGTGCTGTTCCATGACGAGCTCCATAACAAAATGGAAAAAAGTAAAATGAACAGTTAGAATTGGAATCTCTGCTTAAACAAATCAACCAGCCAAACACAGAAAAGGTTATCAAGGAATTAAAAGAAATCTGAGGTGTAGCAAATTAGCAGATCTGGGATAAGTAGCATTTAAACCAAGTTGATGGCAGAATGGTCTGTGGGTAAAACACAGTTCTCTCCAATAAACTCAGTACCAGAGCAGTGATTGTATAAATCTAGGGTTTGAGGGGGTTTTTTATTACTTTTGCAGAGCACCTCCAGACCAGCATGACTGAGCGGATTCCAGCGGCAGCGATGATGCAGGAATAAAAAAGTGCCATTCTCAGGACATGATCTGCTGCTAACTTCAGGACAGAGGACAATGCTCACTGCTCTCTGCCCGACGTTACAAACCTCAAAGTCATCTGATTTTTTTTGTACTGCAGAGTACATATTTCTATGAGTGACTTTTCCAAGGACAATTGTGAAAGTCCTATGCATTCTGTGCCTTACATAGCTATTTATAGTAATAGGAGTATAAGGTCATACTCGAGAAGGGATTTGGGAGGTTTGTTTTGTTTTAAATTGAACAGTATTTAGCACAACATAAGCAATTCGTTGATCTTATTTTGTTACTAACTTCGTTCCTTTCTCTAGCTCACTACTGGTTTGTCTCTACCACACACTACAGGCCTCAGGAGCAGGGGCTGCTTTCAGAGCGGCTCCAGATGAGCAGTAGATACCGTGCTTACTGTGCTTTGAAGCAGAGATGCCTGGCTGCCACATCACTGCTTGTCAGAAGGATTAAGCCTAACAACCCCCATAACCTCCACACATCATCCCCACAGCCTGAGACAATGGCTCCGAAACAATGCTGTGCGATTCAAGGGATCAATGTGGTCACATTATTTACTTGCATGACATATCCCATCAACCCAGTTCTGGTTTCATCAGCTTTCAAAGAACAACAAAGCTTGCACTCATGCCTCGTTCTGAGGATATATTCTCTTTTCTTCCCTTCTCTTATCCTGCAAAGTTTACTTTCTGCCTCCTAGCATAGCCCTACACTGCTTTTCTCATCTTTCAGCCTCATCCCCTGTTTTTACAAACAAAATCCCTGTCCTGCAATTTTTATGCTACTCCATCCCTCTGACTCTCCCATTGAACACAATCACATCCTGCTTTCCCAGCCAGATGCTGCTCCAGGCATCCCCCCAACCGAGCACAGAAGCAGCAGCTCCAGGGCACTCTTCCCCTACTTCTGCCTCTCCCTACCTTTAGAAAAAACAGAAGCAGCACCCAGGAACAGCCTCCCCTTTGGGGAAAAACAAAAGCCTCAGACACCAGTAGAACCCACCAAAGACAGAAAGCAGAAGCGCTGCCTGAGCCACCACCTGCTCAGCTGTCAGCTGCTTTTTCCCTAAAGTGAGAAGCTGCCTCACATCTCGCAAGCTTTCCCTGCAGCCAGTAGATCACATATTTACTTCACTTCTCATTCTTCCCCAGCCACACAAGCCCTTTCCAACCAAAAACCACTCTACTTTGGGTACATATCGGCAATCAGGCTGGGGCAAGTGAGACAAGGTCCTGATGACAGTACAGAAAGCAGAGCCCAGTTTCTCCCCAAATCGACACACTTCAGAGCCACATTTAGCTCACTCCTGCTTCTGCACAACCTAATCGGTACCAAATTCTGCAAGATCCCCCAGGTCTGCCCCACTCGAGTCTCTTGCCCAGCAGCTTCCAGTTACAGCCATTTAGCTGCTGAGCATTTTGCTTTAAGAAGAAAAAGCAGATACACAAAGCCTATACTGTATTTTGAAACAATTGCAACTACCAAGAGTAAAGGGCAGGACTCTGAAAAGCCACTGATAATGTACAGAGAACAGAATAGGTCTTCTGCTGCTGGTGGTTTGTGCCTGCCATCACTTTTCCTAGGACAAAAAACACGTGCAGCCGTGGCACAGCACATTTTTGCCATCAATTCACACTGCTGACATGCAACTCAAGTCATAGACCAGTGTCAGCCAAGTGCATATACTTAAGATGTTATTAATAGCAGGAAAGCAATGCCATCAGTATGTGCTCTCCAACTACCAGCACAAGCTTATAAGGCAGAAAGTTCTCACCTGCCTGGCCACCCTCCGAGCTTCCCAGTAAGGTTTGGAGTCTTCTACAGCTTTTCCAATCTTCTTTACCAGTTCATCCAGTTTTACCGTTGCTTCAACCAGGACAGAGCGGAACTTCTGGCGTGCATCCTTCAAAACATTGCAGAAAGGAAAGAAAGGGCAAAGACAGATTAGAGCTTTAAAATTTATTTCTGCCTCTTTGTTCCTAAACTTCAGGTTGCTCCTTAGATTCACAGGTGAGCTGATACATCCAGAACAGTTACTGTCATTTGGACTAAGCCAGAATTCTTCCGTAGAGGTAATTATAGGAACCCAGAACTGCATGCAAAAGCCAGCATCCCAAACACCCAATCTTTGTTTTCCAGAGACAGCTTTTACATAAAGCTGCAACAGCCCGTGCCAGACATCACCTTTGGCAGGGCTTCTCAGACAGGAGTAGTCTATGAATTACTCAATGAGGAGGTGAATAGCAGCATAACACGTTCTGAGAGGGAGTTCAAGAGCAAAGACACATCACCCAGACAAGGCTAGAGCGGGGCTAGCAGGCAGGCCACACCCCACAGCAGGCTGTCAAATCAGCTGGAGTTGGCATCCCCTAAACCCAGCACCGTTTCCCCCGGAGACACCACTTCTCAACACAAATGAGGATGGACAGGATCTGCTTTCTGCAGGAAGAACTGGGCACTTCCCACATGGTGTATGTCCAGGTCAGCAGCTCTTCACACCTTCAGTTGCAGCAAAAACCTTCCAGGTCCTGGTGGCAATACTGCCACTATAATAGCCCATCTTTTCAACTACAGTTTGTATTAATGGATAAAGACACCTACTTGCCATTTGATTGTTATTATTTACTACATTAAAGTAAATTCCAGCTACTTCTTTACTGGATGACTTGTCCTCTTGATTATCTGAAGCAATTAAAATATTTTCTCTGCTCCAATGAAATTTGAACATCTTGAAGAAAAGTGATTCTGACTTCGATCTCAGCATCCAACACAGACTAAATCAATGGAATTATAGCACAGAGATACAAATTTAGGCTGGGACTCAGCCCAGAATTTAAGGGAATGAAGAGGAAGGACCATGTGAGCTCTTGAAAACCCTTGTAATTCTAATTAGAGAGCAGGATTTACACAGACTGCTGGAGTGACATGTTGATTATCAGCAAGCAGCTGGCTTGAAGCAGTGCTCTAATTCAGGAGGGTTTTGTCATTATTGCCGAATATTTCTAGAATGCACAACTGTTTGTTCATTGGATGAATTAAAATACATTGGAACCTCATACTATGTTCTCAGAAGTGAAGAAAAATAATGCAGTAATACATTAGTTTATACACAAAAAGCAAAATACATCAGTAAAAGCTTCTTTGCTTCCTTTTTAGTGTTATCTAAAATTTTAACCAGCATTGGTAATGTTTTAGTTCAATGCCCATAGCTTTAGATACTTAAGGAACTTCAATTTATTCTAAGAAAGTAATGAAATGAGTAACAAAGTCAAAAATGGAGAATTAAATGCACAGTAACTCATTATTTTATTAACTCCAGTCCGGTCAACAATCTCATCTCTTAATGAAAGCCTGGAATGTATGCTTCAGACAGTAGGTAAAGTCAATGATTTTCTCAGTGAGAAGAGTTTGAATATTGTAAACTGAAGTACTGGATGATATATGGCTCACTGCTCAAAATTAGTACCACAAGAAACTGCAAGCACAATGACTATATTGCAAGAAAAAAACGTTCAATGCTGAGGTATACTTAACAAAAAAAATTTCCTACAAGTGCAGAAAACAAAATTATAAACTTCATGTCTAAATGAGTGAGCCTGAAGGCTTGTTTTTCACTTTCTCTGTGAAAGCTGTATGTTAGGATACTAGTTTACACTAGTTGTGGCAAGTAAATAGTTAAAACATAAATGCATGTGCATTAAGTAAAAAAATAACTATGTGGTGATTAATCAAAAAAATTCAGTTCCCATGCTTGTAAGAAGAGCAACTGGAACAAAGAAACCATTGCTACTAAATCTGTGCTTAGAGACCTACCCCAAATTTATTCAGAGAATGATTATGTACATTCTTATTCAATAGCAAAGAAAGGACTAGTCTCCACCTGGAGATTAAAAAAAAAAAGAAAAATCAAACAAAAAACCCACTGAGGACAGAGCAGTCAACAGCAACTTCAATACCCACACATCTCCCACCAAACCTCAGGCAAAGCACAAAAAAAATACTAATAACTAATTCTGTAAGCGTCACAAGGCACAGGTCTTGCAAAGGGTTGAGCTGATGTGTGTCCGTGAGCACATCTCATGGCAGCTACACAGAACAGGAGCTTCAGCTGAGGAATATACTGGTCAGACACTGGAATAGACTGCCTGGGCAGGTGGTTGAGTTGCCATCCCTGGATGTGTTCAATGGGGTGTTGGGTGATATGGTTTAGGGGTGACCTTGTAGTGTAGGGTCAATGGTTAGACTAGATGATCCCAAGGGTCTTTTCCAACCTGAATTGTTCTATGATTCTATGAACATCCAGCAGATATTTTGAGGCTTTATTTGGGTCCAACTAACCTCATTTTTTCCAGTGAAGAACAATAACAAAAACCCAAAACACCCCAGAACTTTATCCCCATGTCATCCATCACATCAGTTATCTCAAATGACATTTATTCTCAGGCTCCTAACTGCCAGGAAGACAAGCCTGCAGGGTCAACCACCTTCTGCATGAGAGAACAAGCAGATGCTCGTACTCTGCTGGGACCAGCTCCCTACCAAAGGTTTCCAACCATTCCCTCTGGACATAGCAACAGGATGCTGGGGTCTCCAAGAAGGTGAAATGCCAAATCCATGCTCTCCCTTGCACTACACACATTGCTTTCATTCCCCACTAGCCTCAACTACACTAGAGAAACACATGACCCCACCATCTATAAAAGTCACCACCCTTGGGACAGTGCAAAACTCCCCGGGCAGGTGCCCCTGGGGAAGTTGCAATAAGAAATACAGGTGCAGTAGCTATTTTTACTCTTCGTGTGACCCCAGGGAGTTCAGAAGCACCAAGGCAATAGCACGAGCAGCACCGGGCTCGGCTCACTTGCTACATACGTGACGCGAAAATTGAATCTGTGGTTCATGGGAAGGAGGAGCCTGTGGTCCAGGCAGCAACTTGGGTATCAATTAAATTCCCTGCTCTACGTCAGGCTTCCTGTGTTACTGCCAGCAAGACATTTCAATCCACAAATGAAGCAGATCAAAGCTGTAAATCCTCTTAACGGTGTTTTCTGCAAGAACACTCTCATCAGAATCTTGCAGGCTCAGGGGCAGCCCAGCAGTGCAGATCACCCGTGGCCCCCAGCACGAGGGCAGCCTTGTGTTTGCATTAGGAAGACAACCATGTCACCTTCACCTTTCTCCTGACACCCTCTGGTGTGATGTGTCACCCTATGAGTGTTACTATCTAACTGCCAGACTCTTGCTTCATTCAGACCTTTACCTAGCACACACACATAAAATAGAGAAGGAAAAGACCACAATTCCTGCAACTTGCTGCCCTGAGCAAAACTGAGACACTGTAGCACATGCCATGAAGCCTTCCCACACAGTCCTCCCAGCAGAAACACCTCTGAGCCACATGAACCACTTCTGGGGGTGTTTTTGGGGATACATTTGTTTGTTTTTCTTATCACTGCACTGAACACATACACAAGACCAGGTAAACTGTAACACAAGCAATGCAACTGATAAAAGACATCTCAAACACTCAAACATTTCAAAAGCATGTTCTCCCCTTGCTCATAGTCTTCCGTGATCATTTTTAAGACCATCTCGCTGCTGATTTTGCAAATAGAAAGGTGATATTGAAAGCTGACTGGCTAACATTTCCAATGTTTTCTCCCTCCTATTAGCTCAAATGAGATGATGACAAACCTTTTTAAAGCTGGACAAAAGCCAGTTAAGGCACTTCACCTCCAACACATAGTGCAAGGCGAAAAAAGATGTAGCAGTGGAAATTTCTCATTTAAGTTACAGTCTTAATGGTAACTAGGCTCTCACTGCTTAAGTGTTTGCCATATGCGTGCTCTAGCAGGCACAGCACTTAGTGCATCATGTGAACAGCCACACTTTATTTTTCAATGCCTTGTTCCACAGCTGTAAGCACTCCTCTCTTCAACTTAGTTCCTGGAAATCCTTCACACTTTTTTCTTAAATTATAGATTTCACAAGCATGGTTTTAGAGAGCATGCCAGACTTCGGTGCAATAGTTCACTATTAAAAGTAGACTTTGTTTCCAGTAACTTGCTGCTGGGCAATTACCTGCTACTGCACTGAAAGAGGGACCACACTTAATGACAGGTCATCCATCCAGAGGCATTTCGGAGACCCACCCTCAAATGTGGAAGGAAACTAAGATATATCATCGCACTCGCACTGCACCTCTTGGAGAGTAAAGCTTGCTTGTCTTCCTTTCTCATGAGTGATAGTGATGAGCTGGTGTTAGACGACAGGCGACAGGCAAATCGCTGTACCTGCCCATCAAATAAAGTATGTATTTTCAAACAACTTTCTTATTAAAATGAATTTAACACATCAGCCAGGTATGAAGCATCTTAGTACTGAGCACATTTAAATTTCATTTACAGAGGTTGCCCTGTGACCTTTCTGACAATTTATCTTGCAGAACCTCTGACAACCCATCAAACCAGCCTGAGAGGTGCATGAGAAATGGAATTGCTGACATAGACAGGCTTCATCTATTTCCAAGAGGCAGGCAGTGTCCATACCTGCCTTCCTCCACTACACAAGCCTACCTGCTGCAAAAGCTCATTTTCACATTAAAATAGCATCAGTATCAAGAACATCCACATGTGAAAGCAGGCAGGCTTCCCAACTGCACACACACCAGACACGCAAGGCATGTGGTTCAGAAACCTACCTCAGAACATCGAACAGGTTAATGACATTTTTAACATCTCAAGTGCCAGAGCAGTTCAAGTAAACCAGACTGACTATCAGACCTTAAAAATAAACTGCAAGGAAAGGGTTAAGTAACATCTCCATTTTTAAGTATAGGGAAAACTCTTTTTTTTTCTCCATACAGCTACTAATTTGCCACCTAATAATAATAAAAAATAGTATTTGGAAGTTGTTCTAACCTCCTGCTTGCCTATAGTTAAAGATTGAGACTAAATACACTAGTAAATTTAGTTCTCTCGGAAGAAGGGAGAGGAAAGCAGGAAGGGGAAGGCACTAGGTACTACTTCCAAAACAAGACTTCTCTGCCTAACCCCTCCTTCCCTCCCTTTAGGCTAGAAATCCATCTCTGCTTCAAAAATAGGATCAAGCAAAGCCCTTCGATTCACTTGGGTGACAAAATCTTTCCAGAGTCACCGCAGAGGAAGAAGCCGTTCCTTTCTAATCCATGGATAAAAGCAGAGGGCAAAACAATGAGTAACCCACACGTAGGAGCCATTTCCTATGGAAACAAGTAGACTAAGAAGTAACAAAGACGGATTTGTCCTGCTAGTGCTGGACAAATTCATCACGCATGTATATATCGCACTCCAAAACCAGCATGAATGCCAGCCAGTGAGCTGCTCTTCCCTGTCTCTGTGCTCTTTGGGCACTGCAAAACACTGCACAGCAGTGCTGATAAGGTGCCAGATGTTTCTACCGATAGATGCTTCCCCAGGTCAAGCAGGA